TTACCAATAACATTTCTGTATTCTTGAATCGTCATCATCCTCCTTTTTCGTTGTCTTCTTTGTAATTACCAACACAATTTTATTACCAATAACATTTCTGTATTCTTGAATCATCATCATCCTTACTTTCTCGTTGCCTTCTTTGTAATTACCAAGATAAGTTCATTACCAATAACATTTCTGTATTCTTCAAACATCACCATCCTCACTTCGTTGTCGCCTTCTTTGTAATTACCAAGATAAGTTCATTATTAATAACATTTCTGTTTTCTTGAATTATGTTCATCCTCCCTTGGTTGTCGCCTTCTGTGCCATATATTACCAAGATAGTTTACTTACCAATAACATTTCTGTATTCTTGAATCATCATCAACGTGGATTACGTTTTTGTCGTCTGCTTTGTAATTACCAAGATAATTCCATTACTAAGTAACATTTCTGTATTCTTGAATCATCATTATCATCGTAAGTATGTTATTGCCTTCCATGTTGTTCCTTATTTCAATTATTAGGATTTTTTACTATCTAATAACATTTCTGTATTCTTGAATCATCATAAAAAGAACAAGCTTTTCTGTGGCTAATTGCAAATTACAGTGGAACCTCGACGTGACGAACGTTTGTAGTACGAATTTCTCAGTATCCTGGAGCTATATTTTTTTTCCAGCAAATAGTCAAACATAGAAACAAACCGTTTTTGACTAAACCTCCTTATAGAAAACATGTCATATGGATAATTTTCTAAGCTTGACCGCTGGATATGAACGGGGATGTTTGTTAAAGCTTTTTCTTAGTTTGTCCCTCAGCAAGAAAGAGAAGAAAGCAATTGCTTGTTTTTATAAAACTCATTTAACAAACTCGCTGTATGGAAGGAACTGCAATTTTTACTATTACTATTTTTATGGGAAAACAAACAAAAAAAGCTTGTTAGACGTTTTCTTAATTATAAGGAGGGTGTGTTCATGGATTGCATGCGCTACGATTCAAAAGTCTTGATTGTGAATCTTTCCGAACTTGTTCAATTTTCTTGTTTACAATTAACAGATACCTACTTACCGTACTTACGAAAAAATGAGCCCCTTCTCCGACTTTTTTCTTTGGATAAAGCTGTTAGTTCAAAGACGCATATGCAAGGCGCGGTTTGTGAAACTGGATCTTAACTTCGTTGTGACGTCACAATAGCCGCATTCCGTTGGAAGTGAAGTATGCACGCGCGCGAAAATCAAACTGAGACCACAAATGGCAAATTGAAATTTTTTCCCATTTAAGAAGAAGGTAGGAAATGGAATTTACTTTTAGGAAAATATCTTAATTCCGGAGCTGACCTTTTTTGTAGTAGCAGAGCACTGGTACGAATAACAAAATGTCGTTATGGCGTATTTTGGAATTCTGGCGCGCGTGCATACCCAGCAAGTTTCGGAGGAATCTTATTCCGAACCAGAGTTCGTTCCAAGGTTCTCTCTCGCAAAATTAAACTTAGAACCTGGTTACAAGAGCGGGGCTGACCCAGTTTGCCAGGCTGGCTCGCACTACCGTAACCTGGGTTTTCTTCGTTTTCGGCGCTTTGCGTGGCTCGTTCTTGAACGCAAAGAAAAATTTCAAGAAAAAGCTCTGGGAACAGGATAGCATTGCCGAGATGACGGAATTTCAGCTAGACCCGGTAGCTTGATATTGTTGTGTTTAATACGTTTGCGTAGCAAGCGTCTCCAGTCAAGTTATTGCGCGAAAGTTGGAACGAGAGCAAAAGAAATACAAGATCGTAGGGGGAGGGGGAGAGGAGAAGAGGAAACAACTTTCCTCCCCTCCCCCTTCATTCCTCTTTTTTGCTCTTGTCCCAACTCTCCCGACGAACTCGCGCGGAAAAGCTTGCTGCGCAGTTGAGGTGCCACAATTTTGGCAAAGCGATCTAGCCATGCCAACCGGGCCAGTGTGGCATGTTAATTAGCCTACTTTGCTTCGATTGGATCTACAGAATTCAAATAACTTCTGCCTTGAAATATACTGGGAACCAAAGATTTTTCTCGCCTGCGGCTGGATTTATCGGTGTCGACCGCAGGCCGACAGATCTTCAGCCAAAGGCAGAAGTCACGAGCGGCGAAGCTTTTCAATTCGCGCAAGAAACTTTAAAGACTTCACCGGAAAAGGCACAGAAAAGTCTCTGGCACCCAGGGAAGCCTTGAAACTAAGCAATGCATTATAACGATTTCCAAACACAAGCAAACTATCAGTCATAAGTAGTAGTCATGGGCTGAGTCGGAACGCAATTTTCAGTAGATCTTAAAGCTCTGCTTTTCTAACTACCGACTCCAACCATCCTCCTCTAACATTCATTAGGTGCGCGTACACATACTTACCGCATTCTTATCATGAACCAATTGAAGAAGCGGTTTCACAGGGCTTTCAAATAAAAACTATGTTGGGCGGATATTAAGAAACGAAAATGGAGCTTGAAGCAGTAGGATGAAAGCATTGTCGAGTTAAAAAATTGTTCACGAAGGCAGCAATTGCGGCTAGCACCAACACTTTAACCGGGTTACGAATTCAAAGTTTATGTTGTGTAAATGCGTCTTAAGAATTTACCAGCAGCCCCAGCAACCCCGTTCTTTTCTAAAAAGAGGGCTTCTTAATGTATGAAAATATATGCAACACTGACCTCCCTGTCTTTGTGTGTAGAGAAGATATCCAAGCCATAAAGGGATTACCAAAGGATTTCAAAAATCGTTGTGTCTTTGGAAATAAAATCGAAACTAACTTGTTACGTCACAAAGACGCTTTTCAGTTGAAGGACATATGCGCGCGCAGCTTATGTCCAAATTCGGAGGCTTCGTGTTTCAACTAAAGCGTATTTTTGAAAACAAACCTTGTTGGGATATTTTTCGTAAGAATAAATCAGGCAGTCTTTAAAAAGCAGGGCGGACCAAAAAACACTAAGTGGGAGGATTAGTTATTAGAGGGTCGGAAAACACAAAAAAACTGAAGGTCTTTATTCTTTGCTGTCACCCTGTTCACATAAAAATTAGTTTTTATTTCCTGTTTTAATAGTTATTGCCATATATTTCTAGTCAGGAAATTCATTTTCTTGGAGATTTTCCTCCAAATAGGACAGGACTGAAAAAAGCAAGCAAATACGAAGAAAAACAAAACACTTTTTAGCCTGCTTTAAATGAAAGCAAATTAACAAGTATGAGCTGTAGTGTAGGGGATTAAACACCACTAGAGAAAGTTCCCTCGTCAGAATCATAAGCTGATCGTCGAAAAGGAACTTATTTCAATTCATCATGTTGTAGTAAATTAGTAGGAATCTAACAGGATCACGAAACATTAACTTTGTTTATAACTTGCTTTTGCATTTATTTTTATTTGTAATTGTACAATACTATTTACAGTCCACTTTTTAAAATTAACAAAAACCTTTTTATAACTTTCAGTGGCACAGCTAACAAAGCAACCAATCCAGGAAAATTCAAAGTACATATAAGGATCAGTAAAAGTTGTCATCAGAAATCACCTATTTTTTTATCGTTGGGGTAGAGTGTCTATTCATACATGTGTCGAATGACCGCCTGTACAAAATCAGTAGTGCTTGTACTACCGCCCATATCCATGGTCAAGAACTGAAAAAAAAATGGATAAAAGTCTGAAATCAGTGGTAAAATAGGTAGAAATGCTAAGCTGATTCGGCTGTCTCCTCGCACAAACCCCACGAGGTGCGTTCAGGAGAAAAATAAGACGCCTGACCGTTCCTCGGGGGTCGACGAAACAAAGGCTTCTGACAAATCAGATGGAAATGTTTATATTCATACATATGAGTTCTTGACGAAGCATGAGGTCAAGATGGCTGGATAATGACTAAGTTCTTTTTTGCGATTTTATTGACCGAAACGAAGTCGAGGTCAATAAAAACGCCAAAAAAAAAATTACAAGGACAATACCGAACGATCTTGGTCGATAAAAGATTTATTTTATGGCCAAAAAGAGAACTTTTACTTGCGTGACCAACGCGGGAAATCCCGAGCGGGCAAGATGAGCTCATATTGCCCGTTTGGATAGCCAATCAGAATGCAGGATTCGTTTCATCTCGCTAGGTTGCGTATTTAGCCATATAACAAAAATAGATCCTGGGTACAAAAACCAAAGGTGTATTGAATTGAATGAAACTGAGAAACATAATTCTTATCATGGTCACAACAAAATGTGCGTTTCATTAGGAAATCCATTTTTACGAGCGCATTCGAACGCGGAAGCCAAATCCGAAGTTTCCAACGGCACACACACCAGAAGACACCACACATAATCCTGTCCAAATTCAAGTGATACCACCAAAGTAGTAAGATATCAAATCAGGGGCACCCAACGACAATTTTCGGAAAATATCTGTTCGGAAGACGATTTGAGATCTAGAATTTTCGGAACATTTGTTGTAAAATTTTTTGCTTGGCTGGCTCTCCTAGGATTTTTGAACATCTAAAAAATGGTATAACTGCCTATTTTAACGGATTTTTACCCTAAAAAGGTCACCTAGAATTTTCGGGAGCCTTTTTTCTGACTGGAATTTTCGAAAAGGTAAGTTTTGATCCCTATAATTTTCGGATCACTAGACTTTCAGCTAGGAAATCCGAACAGACGAAAAATTTTTAGGGGGATAGAAATATGCCTATATCTACCGTTTAAATACTAAAATACGTTTAACAATGCTATGTTTAAGTGGTTTTGAGCTATATTCCCGTTGGGTGCCCCTGTCAAATACGCATAAAATGATACTGGCGTTCAATTCTGGGAATAAACGACAAATAAATAGAAAATACAGATATATAATACGTAGATGTAGGCACTGGTACGATGGTAAAGATCCAGACTGCGTTCTTGCAAAACAATAAAAAAAACGCAACTTCATTTTAAGAAACTGGCGTCTTCACTTGACGCTACTCAAAAGTGGAAAACGATCGGTTTTTTCCTAAGATTAACCCCTGGTCAGTGATCACCGTTTATGCAGTACTAAACTAGACTCTTTTAATGTTAACTTTACACACCTGTCCTTCAGAGATGGTCTTTTGAAGAGCGTCACTGATCATTTTTGCATAGAATCCCAGACTGTAAAACAAAAAAGTGGATTGGTTTTAATGGACTTTCCCAAATTAGAGACGTTTTTACCGGAAATGTTCAATGGTGGGTGGCTCTTTTTCGCTATTGACCATTCTAAGCTTCAGAAATAAACCATATCCTGTCACCCAAAAGGAAATGATCAGTTGCTAAAATGTTTTCAGACACCACTGAAAATTTAAAGATGGACAAAATCATTCATTTTTAAAAGACGAACATCTTTTAGAGAGCTCAATCAAATGATTATTACTTCATATGCTCCAACATGTCCACACCAGCTAAAATCATCGCTGTGGGATTTGCAATATTTCTTCCTGCCATTTGAGCGTACGTGTGACGGGCTCCCTGAAAATTCAAGGAAACTTTGTGTCAATGATTTAACTGTGGACTCCTAGCTTTAGATAGACAAAATCCTAAGATGTGACCATTCAAATGAGACCTCTTTTGTAGTAATTTAAAATGGTATCGGATAGCGTGACGCTCTAACTTTTGAACGTGTGAACAAGATCCTGTGATGTGACCATTCAAATGAAAGCTCTTCAGTGGTACTTTCACATGGAACTATTATTTCATTTGGTATGAAGATGTAACTTCTGAATCCGCGAACAAAATCCTAAGAACTGATGATTCAAATGAAACGCTCTCAGTAGTACTTTCACATTCTACTGTTAGTTGTCAGGTTTACAAACAGAAAATCAAGATTTTAGTACATATTATATATAATATTATATTAAAATAGTTGCCAGTTATTATTATACCCTTGAAGTTACTGTAACAAAAACAAGAAATACTAGTAAGGAATTCTATTTCAAACTTTTCTCAGCATAGTTATGGTCTCTATGACAGATACTTACAGGTTCAAAGATGGCAAAGTTGCTTCCAAGACTTTTTCCAGGCACCACGCCAGCACCACCTACCAATGCTGCTCCAACATTGTCTACAATACTGCCATACAAATTGGGTAAGACCATCACATCGAACTGGTGGGGTTTGGCTACCAGCTGATAAACAAAACAAAAGGAAACACAAAAAGATAAGTAGAGTAAAAGATGTCAGGGGTGGATATTTGGCCTAAAGTCCAGATAGTTGTGCCACCTTGCTTGTCAAATTCCTTTCCAAAATTTTCCCTGCTTTGAGTTGAAGTTTGACAATGTTTTTGAAATGGTAACAGCTTTGTTTGGACTGTAGAAAATGCTGAGCTGTCAACAGAATCCAGGCACCAGTTGTTAAATCACTATCCACTGGATGGCGGAATTAGTTTCCCTAACACTTATTCACTGGATAGTGACTTATCTGGTGCATAAAACTGTCCAATGTTTGGACAACCCAGGCCTGGTAAATAAAAGATGCCTAGGTGCCCTGCAAATCAGAAAACCCTTTCTCTCTTCAAGATTACCTTATCAATAAAACCCTGTATATCATTTTAAGTGATAAATGAATTGTATAAGAATTGAAAGCTTTGAATAAAATTCAATGATTTGTCAGAAACTACTTTACATGTATATTAATAGCTGATAGCTGCATATTTAACATACGGTAAATATTTTTATAATATGACCCATGATACAGCCCCGCATGCAATTTCACTGAAAAACCATATGAAAAAAAAAATCCCTAATGATCGCTGAACGCGTCAAGTGAAAGGGCCAGAGAAATGCATTCGGCCCTGCTAAAAAAGCATATTGACAGATGTGGGTTCGGTCCGTCAGAAATATTCAAAAACACAATGGTCATATGATAAAATGCTTATTGAATGAGTTAGGTTGGGCTGGACAGGAAAACATTTGGCTCTTGGTCAGGACGCATGGACCTTGAGCTACTGTATTTATTCGACTATAAGCCGAGCGATTTTTACACAAATTAAAACTGAAGTGAATTAAAATTTGGGCTCTAGAGGGGGTCTCGGCTTATAGCCAAACGTTTTTGAAAAAAAATGTGATTTTTTTCCGAAAATGTTAGGTTTTCCCGTAGTTAACAATTCAGTCTTGTAATAATGAATGGGTCTTGGCTTATAGCCGGGTGTTTTCTATTTATTTTTGGTTCTCGTAATGCCAAGTCTACACCTTCAAAGTTTGGGGTCTCGGCTTATAGCCGAGATCGGCTTATAGTCGAATAAATACGGTAAATAATTGAAATCCCGTCCGGCCCTCCCACTCAGTCAAAAAGTACATATTAGTGTTATTTATTATTTATTTATTTTATAATCACTTCCACCATATGGTGCGGAACACACAACAGAGCAAGCTTCAATAATTGAAGTGTGTACTTACAGATAACCCACCCAGCCCAGGAAAGGTTTGCCACACCACCAGGGTCTACGTCCCCTACTCTCTTTGAACAATGGTGTGGGTTCTTTTAAGTCCCACAAAGAACAGAATAGTGTTCAGAAAAGTGCTGTGAGATGGGACCTAAGGTTTTTCGTCCTTATCTGAAAAGACTAGAAGTCTAACCATTTGCAGATGTCATTCCAAAGGCAGCACTTTTCCTCAGTTATTTTAAGACCCTGAGTGTTGGTCTGGCCGGGGTTTGAACCTGTGACCTGCCACTCAGCAGACTGGTGCTCTCCCAACTGAGCTGACCAGGTGGTGGTTAAAGGCACTCGCCAGTGGACAAACTTTCCTTACAAATCTTCCTGCATTATTTCATTACAGAACTAGGTGGCAGAAGTTGAGAATGACTAGGTTATACCTGCATACATGTGTTGTCTACGATCATTCCTTCAAACTTGATCTTTGGGTACAGTTTGGAAACTTGCTCACAAGTTTTCAAAAACAAACCATCACCTTGCTTCCTATTGAGAGAATAGACAATTTACAAATGAAATGGCAAATTCTGTATACACGTTGCAGATAATGTTTGTCTCCTGTTACATTCCATTTTCCCTATTAAAAAGTTTTCTTACTTGGTTAGTTTAACATGTTTCACTTCATGAAATTAATGATTCAAACTACAGTTCTACAGTAAAATTTCCTTTTCGGAGATGAAAAAACTTTACGGACTTTTCAAGGATTTGTTTTTGAATTTGACAATTATTTAACTATGAAAACCCCATATACTGCATTTTGAGGAACAACAAAAAGGAACAAAGTAAAACACAAACAACAGTCCATGTTTTTGGACATCGTCAAAATGTATTTGAGTGACAAGTTTTCATAATACACAACTTGAGATTTTAGATGGTGGTGATGACTAAGGAGCTGAAGGGTTACAGTGTATAAGCAGCTGTATGACATTAACTATTCACCAATACATGTAATTTGCTTCAGAACAACTTGAACTTACATAATATTTGCCTTGTGAACAGCAGTGACTTTCTGTCTCTTGTGCCTTGTTGCATAGTCAAAAGCAAACTTAGCAATCCTTTCTGATTTCTTTCTTGTGATAACCTTGATCATTTCTACAACTCCTGGCACACTCTGTTACCAATCAACACAAGAAATACAATAGTACCTCACAGAAGTCCCTAACACTGTTCTTTAGTAAAATCAGAAAGAGCTGTTACCACATTACATGAAATACAGGGACATGGTTATGGCCTTAAGGAAGCTAATAAAAAGATGATCTTGACGGAGATTGGTTAGCCCTTTAAGTCCCAAGATCCACATACAGATTCTCCATATTGACCTCCATTGTAAGCTTTTTCATTTAAGTGATCAGTTTACTTACTCTCATAACCTAATTTCTCTTATTGTGTTTAGACATAATAATTGTATTTTTGGGAGAAAGTTGATGTTGGACACTCTTGAGACTTTTAAAATAGAAATAGGGTTAATAGAAATCTTGAGGATCTTGATCGAGACTGGTTAATAGAAAAAAAAATTGTGGGAAATATATTGAAACATTGCACTAAGGGTATGAAAAGAAATTTTTAAAAAGCCAGGAAAAGGTGAAAAACATTAACATCTACATATTGTTCCATGTTAAACTCTGACTAAAGAATATCATATCTTTCAAGGAAAACATGAAAAAATTACAGACCTCATGTTCCAGGCTAGTGTATTCTCCCTCTGTCTGCTCTCTGATAATTATCATATCTACATCTTTATGTCTAACAAAGATAAGAAATTTTGATGTGGCTAAATTTTATTTAGGCTAAGTTAACCTTGAGCCAATGCTGCCAGCGGTGTTCCCCATTTTAGTGTGCGTGACGTGTGGGGTGGCCCATTTGGGGCTTTCAGGATTGTTACCATTGGCATCATTAGCAAGCTATTTTTAGCTGATCACTGTGGATCACTTAAGCTTTTGTGTTGGTGAATCTTTGCGGAAACTTGCTCCCTCTCCTCTCTCCCTGCTATCATGTGTGGGTGCGCAGGTAAGTATTTCACTTGGTAAGTAACTCTTCCACTTAGTTTTTTCTCAGTATGACGGTGTCCGTTATTGGTGGCTGGCAGGAGTGGTTCCTGCTTCCAGGGTTGCCTGGTTACCTCCTTGCCTTATTTGGCATTCGGCCTCCCCTGCTAACCTTTTAGGCACCAGTTCCCAAGATCATCAATTGGTGATGAGTTTGATATACAGAAAACAGGACTTATTTTATTAACAATTAATTTTAAGTCCCACAGGAGATTAAGGAAACATGACCCCTTATTTCCAAGAGCTAATCAGATCTGCTGTAGCTACAGAGTCATTTTCTGCCCTCCCTGGTAGGTTGTATGATACTAGTATGACTTTTATAGCAAAAAGAGCTTACCTCAGGAACCCCAGGAACCCCAGGTAGGTTCATAGTAAAAAGGTTATTTGGCGAGACAAACTGTCTTTAGTTTCATTTTTAACAGTTTTTTGTGCAGTTTATTGTTGGTAAGGTGTATGTAATATGTCAGTCATGTGTTGGTTAACCGTTGGCGACAGTTGACCAACAGACAGTTTAGGGGAGGGGTTCTTCACGATTACTCCCCAGTCTATCTCATATAAATCACAATGAGTCAACAAGAGTTAACCTTTCAGACAATGGTAGCAAACATAATCTCCATTAAGTTGTGAGGAAGGTGTGGTAAGTATGGTCATACAACTAGTTTCAAGTGACTTGTGAGATAAAAGTAATCATTCTGTAATGCTGCACCGTCGGATATATCAACAAATTAAAACCAAATGAAATAACACATTTAGTGGAAGAGGAATTAATGGTACCTGGTGTTATAACCTGGAAGGCTTTTACAGTGGACAACATTTGCAAACAGGTCCAGCTCTGTTCTGCAAGTAAAAAGGATTGACTCATTAAGTCATTATGAAAACAAACATAAATAACATATGCCTTTATTCAACAAGGGTAACATAGAGTGCTGGTTCACCAAAGGTTTTACTATGGTTCTCCTGCCACTATCTAAGCTAAGATCAAAGGTTAAGATATACAACTAGAAGGAGACAAACCAGTCAGCTATGTGTGACAGAGTAGTTAAACCTTGGGCTTAAGAGAAACGACTCCAACTCTGCTTAACCAAGCCTGAGAAAATAACCAACAGTTTGCGACACCAGCGCTGGTTTCCCTGCCAAATGATACCTGAGAAATGAGCACAGGGTATTGCTTCCGCTCGGTTGAAGCAAATTTTCAGCCAATCAGAAGCACTACCAAGAACTGGGTTGTAGTGACTGGTCATCAGTATAGAATTTCTGTGCTCATTTATCAGAAGTCATTTTGTGGGGAAACCAGTGGAGGTGTTGCAAAATGTCAGGCTACGCTTAACCCTACAACCGCAAGACTGAGGCTTAGTCCAGTGCCCTATCCACTCCACCGTATCTGAAAACATACAATGTACTTCAAATGCTTAACCCCGAAGTCTCCCAAGTGACCAACATCCATTTTCTCCTAAGGAAATCAATACATCATCAAGGGTAAAGATTATGAGAATTAAGAAAATGATCACCAAAGTGAAAATGCTTTCATCTTCCATCCAATTCCGTCCACCTATTTTTGAGGAAAATCTACAGACATCATTCTGGAGAATTTGTATGTGGATATATTGGGGCTTAGAAGGTTAATTGAATCTGGTGATCACTTCCTTCCCACACAGAGTAACCCCACACCTGATTAGAACTTTTTTTATTTTTATGGCAGCCACCATGACTTTTAAATACCCTGTCAGCTAGTGTGTGGGATCTAGTAAAAGGAATTTCACTGGGGTCTCAGATAGCCAGAAATTTTGAAGATTATTGGAAGGTCTGATCAATCACCAAGAATTAAATTGACTTTGCCACTTTTAAGAGCTACCTGTACAAGCAGCTTATTTACAGTGGAACCTCGCCTCTCGACTACCCCGTTTAAACGACCACCTTGTTATTACAACCTTATTCTTTTGACCCAAGAGCAAAAATCACTGAGTCTTCTTAATAATTTTATTGACCCCGTTAATGCAACCACCTTGTTATTACGACCAGGATTTTATGGCCCAACAGTGGTCGCATTAATGGGATTCTACTGTACTTAGGTTTGCCAATGCTGGCAGAGCCACTACAACAGAGCCTGGCCATACTGTGGGCCATTACCATCCCCCCCCCCCCCGAGATATTTTAAAAATTTTTCGTAGCCCCGTTAGGGCAACCACTTGGTGTGAAGACCCAGTATTTTTGGGCCCAAAGGGGGTCGAGTTAAGGGGTTTCTCTGGAACTTAGGTTTCCCATGGCGGGAGGACCCCCACCAAAAGGGCCGGCCAATATGTGGGGCCATTCCCCTCCCCCCCCCCCCGAGATAGACCACAACACTGGTGACTCATCCACTACTCTTTAGGAATGGTGTATGGGTTCTTTTATGTCTCACAGTAAGTTATTTAAAGTCCCTGAGAGTTGGTGCGGCTGGGGTTTGAACCAGTGGCCTGCCCCGCTCAGCAGACCAGTGCTTATCCAATTGAGCTAACCAGGTGAAGGTTAAAGGACAATAATAAACGAAGGTTAATGTCCTGATAATTCTAATCAGATGTGAGGATCCCATGTGTTCTCGTGACCTGTTTCTTGAGTGTTTAGGAGAAATTACTAATGGAATGGGAGTATATTATGTCTGTATACTTACTTCATTTTTTGATTAAGTGATAAGTGATCCTGACTGGAGATACTGGATGGTGTTGTCAAAGCACCTGGAAGTAAGAATCAGTGAAAGTTAGCTGATTAAGTGTTTTGATTTGAAAAAATAAAAACAACAACAACAACAACAAAAAGAACAGTGGTTTTAGCTTCAGCTGGTTTGGAACCCTTTAAGTACCGTAAGCTGACAGTTTCGCAGCTCCCACCTTTTAAACCTACTCCAGTTTTCTTCATCGACTGAACAACATCATCCAAAGTATATCTGCTACCATAGCTCACATCACTGAAATGATGGAAAATAGTAAATAATTACTATGATCACAAGGTAAGGAAGCCCCTGCACTAGCTCTTCAAGAATCAAAGACAAGCGTGCAGTTGTTTTAGTTAATAAATGAGGAGAAGGGAGCAAAGACTTTTTTGAGCGAGGCATGTCAACTGGAAGTAGACTTTTTGCATTCTTAGGCAATGGCTGCCCAAATTTTTGGACAAGTCATCTGCCGCTACTATGTATTGTACAACTTAAGTTAGGCTCACTTTTTTTAGTTTGGAACTTGCAGTATGTTAGGAGTCAGAGATAAAAACATCATTGCAAAAAAAACTGCATTATGTTGGCAATGAAGCATTTGGCATTGTGGTGGATCAGTTTTGGGTTAGATTATTTTTTTGTTTTTAGATAATTTACTTTGTGACAAATATCCAGTGTAAGTCTTACCTGATTGGAATTTCATCCCAGTCTACAGGCACCCCAGCAGCACTAACAAAAAAAGAACCAGTGTGAGTGAGTGAATGAGAATGAATCACATACATATAGATGAAATGAAATTCAGGTATCATGATCATGAATGTTAGCAGTGGTGAATTCAGATCCAGAGAACTAAGAAAAGAGAGGGGCCCGGGCTCAAAAAATATTCTTATCAGTCTTGCAGGCTTCAGTTTGGCCTAAAAATAAGAAGGGGGCCTGGGACCCCTTGGCCCCTCCCCTAGATCTGCCAATGATTAGGGTTAGGAATAAGTGAGAATCAATCAGGTTGAAACCATTTTAGCTGGAATTTCACTTTGACCTACAAAAAACACACTGTTATGTTAAATTTGGACGTTGAGATAACCTTGCACTTAAAAAAGCCTACCTAAACACTCTCTTCACACTGTGACAAAGTTCTGGTCCAACGCCATCCCCTGGAATAAGGGTTACCATATAACGACCTTTTGACTGTCCCAGGGGCTCACTCTTTGAGGCTGATTCAACATTGGTGCTGTATGCTCGTGATTTTCTTGATGCAGCAGGCATCAGCTGGAAGAAAGTTTGGAAAATAATTCTTAATTGAACTAAAGCAACCTTTGACCTTTAATATGTTCATTATATGTTAACTTCACCCTCCCAAATGGGAAATACATTTACCGCCTGTTATAGTTATACTAAACTAATCTTTTTAAATTTGCGTTTACAAAAAGAAACTTCCCGATTTGAAGATAAGTTGTTATGTTGACAAAAAATGTACGCGTTTATGTCTTATACTGAAGCTTGTAAACAGGTCACAAACCTGTTTGACAATAAATATATCACTAATCTACGTTAGAAAAATATACAAGGAGAAGGAAAAATATTAATAGAGTAACAATCTACCTGGAAACTTTGCTTCAGTAAAGCAATCCTTCCAAAAGAAACCCTTCTTGCAGCCATGGACGCCGCCATGTTGATTTGTGGACGAAAAATTTCAGTAGGATTACATGACCCAACATTAAAACCGCTGGTAAAAATGTCTTTCTGCTCGAAAAATTTGCGCGGGAAACCTCGCGGGAATATTGCTTCACAAGATGGCGGCTGTTCCCACCATAAAGAAGCTAGATGAGGCTGTTGTTAATCGCATTGCTGCCGGTGAAGTGATTCAAAGACCAGCTAATGCACTGAAAGAAATGATCGAGAACTCGCTTGATGCAAAGGCTTCATCAATTACGGTAACAGTCAAATCTGGAGGTTTGAAACTTTTGCAGATTCAGGACAACGGCTGTGGCATTAGGAAAGAAGATATGGGGATCGTGTGCAAGCGTTTCACTACGAGTAAACTTACAAAATTTGAGGATTTAAGCTCCATTGCGACTTATGGATTTCGCGGGGAAGCTCTGGCAAGCATTAGTCACGTTGCTCACGTAACTATAACTACAAGAACTGGAGAATCGAACTGTGCTTTCAAAGCGAGTTATTCGGATGGAAAACTGGTGCCTGCACGACCTGGATTGTCTGCTGACCCTAAGCCTTGTGCTGGAAACAAAGGCACTCAGATAACTGTCGAAGACTTGTTTTATAATGTGTCGACTCGACGAAAGGCTCTTAAGAGTTCCGGTGAAGAGTTCGCGAAAATTGCTGATGTGGTGAGCAAGTATGCGATACACAATTCTGGAGTTGCGTTTACGTTGAAGAAGCAGGGAGAAAACATGGCGGACGTCAGAACGACCAATGGTGCTTCGATTTTGGATAATATTCGCACAATCTATGGAGCTTCAGTTGCAAGAGAGTTGTTAGAAGTTAGCTACGACAACCAAAAGTATGCCTTCAAAATGCATGGCTACATTTCCAATGCTAATTATTCTGTCAAGAAGCTACAGTTTTTGCTATTTATTAATCATCGTCTTGTTAACTCCTCTGCTTTAAGGAAAGCAATAGAAACATTATATGAAGCTTATATACCAAAGAACAGCCATCCCTTTGTGTATGTATCCCTGGAAATTGCAGCAAGGAATGTTGACGTTAATGTTCACCCCACCAAACATGAGGTTCATTTTTTGCATGAAGATTCCATTATTGAGGCTATTCAGAAGGCCTTTGAAGAGAAGTTATTAGGGGCAAATTCATCCAGAACTTACTACACTCAAACCCTTCTGCCTGGTGTCCCTGTGACTGATACCTCTACAGGTTGGTGTTCCCTCTGCATTTACCAGCTCATATTTACAAAAACAAAAGATTGCAGCGTGCAAAGAAAGTAGTGTCCGATAGCCCGGGGCTAGTGGATTTTGCTATCAGGCTAGTGAAATCTGTTTTTAACTTGCTTGACAGGCAAGAGATGTTTTTTGAGGAATTTGAATAACAGAGGAACTGTGAAATCAATTCTGCTAGTCAAAAAGTTTTTGGGGCTAGTTGAAATGACGTCTTGGCTAGTAAATGCTAGCTTCAGCTTGCCCGAATGGCAAGCTGTAAAAATGATTTCCTTTGCACCCTGGATTGTTCTTTTTACATCATCTTTACTGGTACATACACAAGAACCCATGTAGATTAGTGAACAAGATTAAGGTACTTGCTATTTGCTTGCCCAACCCAAGCCTCTAGCCAATGCCTCTGGATATTAACATCCAAAAACTGTATTTGAAACTCCCCCATATGTTTTTTCTTCGATGGAAAATACATTTAATACAAATGATAAAAATACTCCCCTTCCCCACCATGATTTGTGCAGACATTTAGATTCATATTTTCCATTATTTCAGTCAGAAATGTGATTGAATATACTCTTCATTGCATTGTTTTTTAAGTGACAAATGATGGTGGACAATCTAATGGTGGAAAGTTATATGCTCATCAAATGGTTCGAACAGACAGTAGAGAGCAGACTCTGCATGCCTTTCTTCCTCCTAAAAATCATGCTACATCATCAAGTGTAACAAACAGGTTCAAGTTGAAAAATTGCTGTTACATTAGAACCTAAAATGTTTTTTTGGGGGGGTCTTGACAAACTGCGAGTCACGCGAGCTTCACGAGGCATCAGTTAAAAAAAAGGAAACACAAGTAAAAACTGGAAATTTACAGATGAGGAGTTGAGCATTCATTATACTGATTAGGGTTAAGCACTCATTGTACTGATTAGGGTTAAGCTTTTATTTTATGGATTAGGGTTAAGCACCCACTTTAGGGCTAGGGTTAAGCGCTGTTTAGGGTTAAACAGACAGTTAGCATTCAGTTAATGTTTTCTGTATTACTGTTTTCGATTTTTATGGTGTTTTTCTCAATGATTCTTCAATGGACTGCATGGTTCGCATGACTCGCTGGTTTGCATTTTATACACACTCTTTTTTTTTCATAGTCACATGTTATTGGAAGTAGTTTCCAAAAGCCCCTAGGGTGTTTGTCAACTTCTTATTAATCCCTTGCATTGGTGTTTTTTAGTGATTCTCAGTCTTCAAGAACTATAGCTCAACATGAAGCTAATAATTCAGCTGATGGGGAACCAAACAGGTCTAAAAATCTTACTTCAACTGCTAATATTACTGACGAAAGCACACTTTCAGTGTCCAACTCAAGCAAAACTCTAGATGCTGGTGAGGAGGACTTCTCTGACCAACCATCAGGTAATGGAAATTTATTATTTCCAGTCATTTTGAATAAATATTTGATTGACTTACTTAATTTAAGGTACATTGTAGACATAATAACTAATGGCTGAACATGTTGATTGGCAGCCTGGGTGACTAACTGAATGACTGGAAAAGTGTGTGGATTACACTCTTATATACAGTGTTTTCTCCTCAATGTTCTTGATACATTTCCATCGGTGCTGATGGGGACAGTTTTTCTAACAAGCAACCTGTTTTTTACCACTTTTTAGTTGTTCAAATCCCGCTTCAGGGAACGGCAACTTTGATTAAAAAATTATTGTTGTTCTTATTGGTTGATTGAATGGTTGGTTCTACCTCTTCAGGTCCAAAAAAGCCAAGACTAGAGGAAAATGGTGACAGGACTTCAAAGGGCCAAAACAAGTTAACTTTCCACAGAGAAATTCGCCTTACCAGTGTTTTGAATCTACGTAAAGCCATTGACAGCAATGAACATCAAGGAATGAAAGAGCTGTTTGAAGACCATAAATTTGTGGGCTGCGTGAACAGGTCACTTGCTCTTGTCCAACACAGCACAAAGTTGTTCCTTGCGAATGTCACAACCCTTAGTAAAGAACTCTTCTACCAGATTATCATCTTTAAGTTTGGCAACTTTGACTTTCTAAAGCTTTCAGAGCCAGCACCAGTCTATGAGCTTGCCATGCTAGCTTTAGACTGTGAGGAGAGTGGCTGGACAGAAGAGGATGGTCCTAAAGATGAGTTAGCGGCATACATTGTCAATTTGCTGAAAGGAAAAGCAGCTATGTTGTTGGATTATTTTTCTTTGGAAATTGATAAAGAAGGTCATCTACTGACATTGCCTTTGCTGTTAGATGGTTACATACCAAATCTTAATGGTCTTCCTTTGTTTGTTCTTCGCCTTGCTACAGAGGTAAGCAGTATGAAATAGTAGAATATCAGGAATGTTTTTGTTATTGGACTCAAAGCTTGAATACAGTCCCATCTGCAGTCTAGGACTAGGAGCTTTTCTTGCTAGGAGAGTATTGTTTGATCTCACTTGCCCAATAAGGGTCTATGCAAGTCATCCTCTAACTATATCATTAACAAAGACAAGGAAGAAGTCAATCAATCAATAAAGCTTTATTCACGGTATCACTTCATTAAAAATGCTCTTCCAGTGAGCCGTTTACAAAACAAAATTTTCAGAGAAACTACATTAATGCTAAAATATATCTATATATTAAGAAAATATATCCTATAATTAATCACACAAAAATCAATCAACCTTAAAGGTACATTAAATAACTCAACTCCCTCAAGGCAATCCCTGGTTCAAGACAAAGATAGGGCAGACTTGAAAGAGTTGAGATTTATCTCGTCTTTAAGCACATTTTCTAGGCCATTCCACATGACTGCTCCCCTATAGCTAAAGGCCCTCTTAGCAGCTTCAGTACGGGGCCTTGGTACAAAAATGTTGTTCGAGGCACCTCGCACGTTGTAGGAATGAACCCCAGAGGTTGGTTTAAACATGTTCTTTAAACTCTCAGGGTAAAGGTTATTTAGAGATTTAAAAACACTTATTGCGAGCTGTTTAGAGCATCTTTGCTCAAGGGTATCCCATCTCAAGTGTTGGAGGATATCCGCAGATCTTGTATTATAATCACTAAATGTTATAATTCTCCCAGCCCTATTTTGCAATCTCTGGAGTCGGTCACACAGACCTTTTCCCATACATCCCCAGACTTCAGAGCAATAATCAAAATAAGGAGCGACTAAAGCATCATACATTTTCAGTAGGGTTTGGCAAGGCACAAGGGAACGAATATGTTTTAAGGCCCCTATACCTGCAGATACCTTTTTACAGATGGTATCTACATGGGATTGCCACCCCAATGCCTCGTCAACCTCTATTCCCAGATACCTATAATTAGTCACCCGAGTCAATTGTTGACTATTAACAGTAACGTTTAAGTCACCATTTAAATGCCTTAGTCGGTAGTGGCTTCCAATTATCATATATTTTGTCTTTTTGACATTTAATATGAGTTTATTGGATTTCAGCCACTTTTGAACCTCATCCAAGTCTTTGTTTAACTTTTCTTCAAGAGTTGCGGGGTCATAGGCGGAAAGGGTAAGCGAGGTGTCATCAGCATACATGAGTGCAGATGATGACAGCTCGCATTCTTGTAGGTCATTTATATAAATGAGAAACAACAAGGGTCCAAGTACAGAACCTTGTGGGACCCCATAACTAACAGGAAGATAGTCTGATAGAGTTTCATTTACATAAGTACTCTGAAAGCGATTTGATAGGTATGATTTGAACCACTGAACTGCATGCGGGTCGAGACCATAAAGTTGCAGTTTTTTTAACAATATGCTGTGGTCAACCGTATCAAAGGCTTTCTTAAGATCCAGAAAGAGTACACTGTTAATTAGGCCATCATCAATATTTAAGTACCAGTTGTTAGTAGCTTCAAGCAAGGCAGTCAAAGTAGAATGCATCGGTCTGAAGCCATGCTGAGAAACTGTCAGCAAATTATTGTGAGTTAGGTACTCATAAAGTTGTTTGAAGATAACCTTTTCGATTATTTTACTGACAACTGGTAGAATAGATATAGGTCTATAGTTATTAGGATCAGACTTAATATCCTCCTTATATAAAGGTAATACTTTGGAAATTTTCCACTCGTCTGGAAAATACCCACACCTAATGGATAGGTTAATTATATGGGTGAGAGAAGGCACGATTTCAGGACAAGCTTCTTTCAAAAGCCTTGCAGAAATACCATCTAGGCCTGTAGCCTTGTCGACTCGAAGCAAACTCACTAAACGGTGAACAACACCGCAGTGAGTCTCGTTCAGGGTAAAACTAGTGACCCAAAGGACAAGCTGGAATTCAAGCTTTTTGCAAGCCCTGTGAACTGGAACCCTATTAGGAAATTCTGCTCTTTTTTAGTTTGTTTTTGGGTATCAATCGCTTTGCAATCTTGAACACAGGCGCTAAAACCTCCCTCCTCCTCAATGGCTTCTTTGTGTAGTAGGGAGGTTAGAGAGAGGGAAAAAGTGCACTGGGGGTGATATATAGGAAGTGAAGAGAGAGGAAGAGAGACCTCTGCTTTCTGTCTTTCAAGAATGCCAGAGAAACAGAGAGAAAGTTTGTTGTACAAGCTGCAACTACCCATTAATGTTGCTTGTTCCCCAGTATATGCTACATCAAGCTGAATGAATGGCCGCGTATCCTCCTCTGGACGTTGCAGCATTCACGGCAGCTTGGTACAGAACATAACTTTGTGCTAATCTCTCAGCCTCATTTTTGGTGTATCTAAGCCTTTTGTTGATGCCAATAAATACCATCAACTGTTCCATTCCTGTGATATTAAAACCCTTTAACCCCCAATATCCACATACAAATTCTCTGTACAGATCTCCATACATTTCCCTGAAAAACTAGTTGAGAGATTTTGTTTAAAGATCAAAGCATTTTCACTGAGGTGATCTTTTTATTAATTTTTTTGACTTTTTCTCTTTATTATGTATTGATATTGGTGAGAGAAATTTGATGTTGATCACTCTTGGGATTATTGCAGATGTTACGGTGCCATGTACCTCAATTATTATTATTTATTCTTTTTTCAGATCTGAATACTGCCAGTCAAAAATTTGCTACAATTCATCTTGATTTAATTTTAATTTTTCCTGTAACATGTGTAGGTGGACTGGGATACTGAAGAGGGATGCTTCCGAACCTTTGCACAGGAGTGCAGCAGATTTTATGCATTTAAACCAGATCCTTACCAACATGATGAGAACTCCACCAAAGATGTTGACACAGAGGATCCCAACGCTGGAAATTCATTGTCTTCCAACCATTCATGGCAGTGGACTGTAGAACATATTTTATTTCCTGCTTTTCGCACAGGACTTATCCCTCCCAGCCGCTTTTCTGAGGATGGTACTCTCCTTCAAATAGCAAATTTGCCTGACTTGTACAAAGTTTTTGAAAGGTGCTAAAATTTCTACAATTTGATCTTTCCATTTCTTGATTTGAGAACCTTTTTTTTTTTCAGTCTGAGATCGTTGCAGTAAAAAAATATAAGTTTCTGTTGCTCGGCATAGGCATTGCAGGAGCCTAATGAATAATAGTATTGCAGAAAGAGAAAAAGTAGAAAAAATTAGGAAGCAGTGCTTGCAAAGGGAAGTTTTGTAGAATATATGCAGTAATATAAGCCTAGACTGAAGACAGACTGTCAAACAAGTCTTAGGGTGCTTTAAAACTGGTATACATAAAATGGCAACATAGGCATTTATTTTTCTACACAAAAAGCATATCAGTTTAATATTGCACTTCTACAAAGTAGTTTCAAGGAAAAGTCAGTGCCTTTAAATCACACCTTTTAAATTCAGGCTTAAAGTCTTGCTTCCTATCCTGGGTTGCATAACTTCAGCCAAAGAACTATGAAGTGCCACTAAAACAACCTTTTATATATATCACACTACAAGATATTCTGAAATCCTATGTTTTAAAACTGGTTTCACTTATTAAAAGGAAAGCTTATACAAATACTACTTTCTTGTTATGTAGAAATCCTGCATATATATTATTCACTTTGTGAATAACTATGTTATATTACTTTAGGTTATCATAAAACCAGTTAATCTTGTTTACAGTCTGTTAATAACCCCTTGACACCAAATATTTCAGTTACAGCAGCCATGTGTTTTACAAATGTTATAAATACTTATTACATATGATAAGTTTAACAAAATTAATAAGTATCAAACCGACTCTGTTAAAAATTATTAAATATTATTAGGTTCTCTGATTTTTCACTTTTTGGTGAGGATAGTCCTTAATAGTTTTGTGGATCATGGATCGTTGGCAGTTTGTCAGCCGACTAATGGCGTCATCATCATCATCATCATCATCCTTCAACCACTGGAGTGGTCAGGACATTCATAGAGATCTCCTCCCAAACACCACGATCTCTGAACTCAGGTACCTCATATCAAGTTCTGAATCCCTAGCAATCACTTCAGGGATTAATGGCACACTGTTAGCCAACAGTTCATGAACAGCCAGTCACCTTTTTAGGAGCTGTTTAAATACTACCAATACTATGTTCATGTTTTCTTAAAGGGCTACACTCACCAAGAAAATTATTTCATATTATAAGAAACCTCTAACTTAATATAAATAACACAGTAATTTACAATAAATAATTCAAGAATTTGTCATTATTCTTATCTGCGACTACCTTTTCTTTACAATCTGTTAAAGTTTAAAAACATACATGTACACACATACTCACAGTATCAAAGCTGAACTGATATTGATCAGATTCAAACTTAAGTTTAGAGTTAACCATGACTTTGTCATCTAATATAACATGACTCCATCTACATTGGCTATTTCATGCTTTTTTGTTTTGAAATAATGTGTGCAGTGAACATTCTTCAATAAAATGATTAGTGGACAGAGTAACAACACTCCAGCAGCACCTAACAAGATCCAAAATGAATATCCAAGCTGAGCCTTGTCAGTTGAAGAGAAGCCTCGCTGCTGATCTTGTGGTTGCAAGACATTCTTTTTGAGTTGGATCTCAAACAAGGCAGCAAACAAACATGCAGAAATGATCACAAAGAAAACTGCAAGTAGAGCAACAATATTTGTTAACAACTTGGCTTGAGAAAACAGCCAACAAATTGTGATGGTTTCTCCTTGAATACATCGTAAAATGTTGGTTGTTTTCTCAGCCTATTGAAAAGTCAGCTCATTGATGTAAGTAGATTTAAGCCAAGAACTGATGAGTGGGCATCTAGGTCTTAAAGATGTTGAAAAATCATTTTTTTCTCCAAAACTGAGCATATTGTTGGAAACCCAGATTGGTTGTCTAAAGCCATCTAGGGTGAATAGCTCCCAATTCATTATTTGTCCTGCCCTGCAGCTCACACAACAATAAATTAAAGGTTAACTAATTTTTTCAGTACTTACAAGCTACTCCACAACAAATGTATATCCCAGTGGAACCACAAATGGTTAAATCTGGCTTGGTAAACTCATTATAACAGGTAAGTCCAATTAATATGGCGACGACAGCCAAACTAAGAATGCAGAATCCTACAGTTGCCCAAACAACATCATCATTGGCCACACCCTCAAATTCATCCTTGACTGCAACAGATGAAATTTCACAGTGTTAGCAGAGTGAGCCTAAAAAGGCTAAAATGTTAATCAGTTATATGCAACAAACAGAAACTGTGTGACATAGTAATAATAACTAAATGTGTTCCAAAAATTTAGAAACGGGTAGCACAGGACTCTTCGTGGTATGTCTTCAAACTTGGTGACATAAATAACCATCGCCCTGGCCAAGAATAAGTGCCGGTAATGAGGTTCTGTTAGGTTTAATTCCGACAAGCAACATGGCCTCAAAAACAGTGACATAGGACAGCAGAAATGGTGACAAATGGCACAAAGAGGGGTTGAAATTATTGTGACAGTGACAGAGAAAGTGCTAATACAAAAGTAAATTACCGACAGTCACATAGCTTCCTCCTCAATACTTGAAACGACAGGCTTTGAAATTCAGATTAGGGACATACATCTAGGGCGTAGCCAGCCTACAGACCTGTAGGCGCCGGGCCTACAAATTTTTGGTTTGATCACTCTATCGCTTGTAATAAATTATGGGTTGTTGGGGTGAGCTAAAAAGTGTACGAGCTCAAAGTGTTGGTGAAGTCAGTTCGTACTAGTCATGCATGCAATTATCAGGATGTGTGGAAATGAAAGTCAGCTAGGCCTGTAACTAGTCAAAAAGCTGGCTACGCCCCTGTACATAGCCCCCTTAAGAGGGCTTATGTAATTTATTTTTATATTTTAATAAATGGTGTGTGTGTTTCTTCAATCTATTTATTTCTGCATCAACAACAAAATCAGAGACATTTATAAAATAGTTGACACAATTGGCATTTGAGCTTGTAGATTTCCCAATATCATGGGAATTGTTAGGAACATACACATGTTGAGTCAGTGCCAAACAATTAAGTTATCAGTAGCAACGGAAATGCTGTCATTCTTATTCATTACAGCAGGTGGGTGAATCTGATATTCAGTAAGTTTATTAAATAGTCATGATGAATTCATCATAAGTGTTGGAAAGACTTGACAACATCTTTTAGAACATCAAAGTGTCTATTTTTTTGTTTTATTTTTAAGAATATATGTCGTAAGACTATTCTTTTTCAAAGACCGTAAAAATGTTCGTGGCTGTCAAAATAGTAAAACGTTTAAATGAAAGCCCTGTTAGCGCTTGGCGCTGAACTTCATCTCTCAAAGTATGGAGGCTGGAATCAGTTACAAAATCAGTCAGCTTATCAAAAAATACGTGTAGCTAAAATTAAGTGTCTGTTCCTTCATAAAAATTGTGGTATTTCTTGAAATGGGTTACCTCTGTATGTAGACAACTAATAATATTCACGTTTAGCTACTTTTTTATACCTGAGTAGTAATGTTCAGCCCACTAAATTCAGGAATAAATGTTTTTTTTATTTCGCAAAAATATGACTAAACACCCGGAAAAAATGCTGTCACAATGTCCTCAAAGGGAGGGAATGTTAACAGTATGCCTCATATATTTTAATCTTAGGATAAACTACATTTTGGAGAACAAATATTATTCTGTTTTCACCTGCGAAGTCCCTTTCTCTTGCTCCAAGTCCAAAATCCTGTTTGCTGACTCCATTGAACATTCCGAAATGTTTAGAACCTCCCTTCTGTGTCGAATTCCCGACTTGGCGTTCAAGATCCGCCATAACCCAGTATTCTGAAAGAAGTGCTGCTACAATCATTACAAACGCTATAAAAGCGAACACAGCGGTCACAATCCCAGTTCCACGTCGTTTGAAAAGATTGGCCATTCTTTTACACGGAATTATTAGAACATGCTTTGGAGAATCCTTTGCTAAATAATTCCCAGAGTATTTTGTTTTAGTGTCTACATCGCCGACATAGTTAGATCGATCGCTTTTGTTTACGGTTGCTTCACACGTCCACGTGCAAAATAAGCCAATCGCGTGCGTTTTATTTTGTCAAAATCGAACAGATGCCAGGACGACCCGTCGAGTCCCGCGGGTCAAGTTTGGGGTCAGAGAATGGAGAGAAAAAAAAATGTAATCAAAGAAAGACTATCGTCAACTCGTGGGTACGTTGTTTAGAAAATAATCAATTAGTTATCACCAGTGGTTTTCCCACAGTAAATTTTAGGAAATGATAGAAATTCAGATTATAAATATACTATCCTTGTTCTGGAAACACAATACTTTTCTTGCTGTTTATTGCACTTTATTAACAGTTATTTTGGTATATATTTAAAAACAAACAAAAACAAAAAAAAAGCAAAACAAATAAGCAAACAAAACAAAACAAAAAAGAAAAAAAAAAAGGAAGAAGGGAAAAAGAAGGTCCTTAGCAGAACTCGGTACCATCGGGTTGACCCGACCTCACATAGCCACTGTACGCCATTGAGGATGAACACATAATTTGTAGAAAAGTCTCAAATGTAATGCCTTCTCCATGGAACTTCCGCCGGCAAACGATCGAGCCATACTTAACCGATTGAAAAAAGGACTCGAAGCAATCGGATGAAATTAAGGATAATTGAAACCAGGCTACTGACAGTAAAAACAATATAAACGCATTTCATGGCAATGAAAGAACATATGCGATCTGAAAGCCGACACAACTCCCCCGCGAAGTAGGACGCAAAACATAAGCTTATGTTTTCTTATCTCGATTTCCGCTGTCATTTTAAAGCTAATGCTCAAAATCACCTCCATTTCCCCCCCGTGATCTTGGGGATTCCTCAAGAAGAAGAAGTGCCTTTATTTATCATACATTCATTCATTCATACATAACCTAATATTTACTACAACGTGGAGCGTCGAAGTTGAAGGAGTCGAAGAGCAAATGCTCATCTTCTCGTCAAGTTTAACGCCTGGACGAGTTAAAGGCTCTTGAATCGTACTAATCTGAAAGATTCCTGCATGCAATGTCTTAAATTTGGTAAGACCTCTATCCTCTAACCGTGCTGCAGCGCACGATGTACGCTTTCAGCGAGGAATTTGATGCCACCGAACTTCGGCGAGCGCGTGCTTCTTTGGAAACGATAGATCTTCGCGCTTTCGAGTTCGGACCCGATTAATTACGAAGTGCGTCTACTACGAGTGAGCGAGTGACTTATTTGCATATCCCTGTCCCTGCAAAAACTCGTGGTACGCTCGCGCGTACCCACGAGTTAAAAAAGAAACGGGGTACCCTGCTAGCAGAGTCGCTTCGATCTTTCCTAGGAAGATCGAAGGAGACTCTGTTCGCAGGGTAGAGAGGGGGAAGAGTCCGTGGGTTAATACAGGGAGATAATTTGCAGGAAAAGTTTACGATGACGCACAAACGATGGAACACTTTTTCTTATAAGAGAAAAAAAAGTCATAGAAAGAGGTGTTATACCTTAACCGGGGGGTACTCCCAGGAATACTTAGTGGGGGGTGTGTCGTTTTCAGATCAGACCTGTACGCGGTTTGCCAACCCGTTTATACCAAGTCCAAGTGCAGTAAACGTACTGAATGTTGACATTGAACGTTATTCATTTGGAGGTAAAAAGACAAAATTAATATGTTTATACACATTCGTGTTTCCCTTTGAGAAAGTACCCGACTGCGATTTCAGACCGTCTACTCTACACTGCGAACGGTCGTCCTTCTTTCCTCGGAGCCTCGCGCGGGCGATCAAAAAAGGTAAAATTGTGCAAATCAATAAAAATTGACACTTTGTCTCACCCCATTCTTCTCCCTGGCGCCCACACAAGTCAGAGCCTTCTCGCAGGCTAATATACGGTAAACGAAAACTGAGATCAAATGCACCAGTTCTTACACTAATTTCAAACCGCATCACACTGGAGACTAGCCTCCCCCGCAGGCGTTTTTAGGGGAGATCGTATTTCTTCCCAATCTTTATTCGTACTTTCAACATGTCAAAAATGATGGTTCTAGTCCACCTAGTCCAACGAACATTAAAAGAATACCAGTGAATTCGCCCCCCAAGTGAAGCTAAGTGAGTTGGTCCTCTAACCCGTGACCAAGCAGTGAGGCTTTGTGATTTCTATGACGATTCGTCGAAAGCGACTGGAGACACTAAAACTGATAAAATACTGTAAAGAACTGAAGAAATCATCCAAATATTGGATAAAAAAAGAAACGATTTAAGAGTTGAAGAATTGTTTAGGAACAAAGGAGATAACTTCATGGACTGTAAATTAAAAAACCAATTCAATGGCAACTGAATCGCGTTTTGCTAGCTAAAGTTGTTTTGTCTCGATATTTTTTAGCAACTAGTTGGATTTTACTTAAGCAATTATTCCTCTAGCCCTCATGGCCTCTGAGTCAATAGCCCATTCGCTGTTGGGCTATTGACTCAAAGCTCATTCTGGCTCGAGGAATAATTGTTATTATTTTTACTATAAAATCTCGGATTCCTTTGTCTGTCTTGGGGGGGATATATTACATAACCCCCGAATCAACTGTCTGAAAAGCTGGGTGCGGCTTTGATCGTTTGAAGGGAAGAGCGTAGACTGCGCGTGGTCATTTGCGTGTCTCGGGCGTTTTGCTCGACGGACTAAAAAAAAAGAGAGACTGCTCGTAAGAGCAGGGCTAATGAACAGCTAATTAAAATGCGAGGGGATTGTTCCCTTGTATATTGATTCAATATCCCCTCGCATTTCAATTAGCTTTTCATAAAGAAAAAATTCACAAAGGTTTATTGGAAATATTAAACACGACGCTATATTAAATTACTAAAATGAAACTGAGCTGCGTTTCTTTTGCGGATTCACGGATTTTCTTCGTTGTTGGTTCATCGATTTCCACAGCCAGAACGACAGTTCGAAATTGAACAGCGTCTTTAAAATTCTACAGTTCCACGAAAGTGTCACAGTGATGGTAAGGTGTTCCGTTCTTTAACCAGTCATCCCAAACTCGTGTACTCCATGAAGACATGTAGTTGACCTCTTTGTGTTTTGTGGTATTCTTACTTCATTCTTCGACTGAATTTCCTTGTCAGTTACAGCAGTGATCCCTCGCCCGAAATCTTCTTTGTCTGTAAACATGCAGGTCGGTCGAAAGATCCTCGGTGCGAAAATGCTTGCTCGTTTTCTACATCCATTAATGAAGATTCAAATTGTTTTATTTCGGAACATTTTTAGTAAAATTTCTTGCTTGCCTGCCTCTCCTAGGATTTTCGGACATCTAAAAAATGGTATAATTGCCCATTTTTAACGGATTTTTACTCTCAAAAAAATCAGCTAGAATTTTCGGGAGCCTTATTTCTAACTGAAATTTTCGAAAAGGTAAGTTTTGATCCCTATAAGTTTCGGATCACTAGACTTTCAGCTTGGAAATCCGAACAGATTAAAAAAATTTTAGGGGATGAAAATATGCCTACATATACCGTTCAAATACTAAAATACGTTTAACAATGCTATGTTTAAGTGGTCAGTTCGAACTATATTTTTGGTGGGTGCCCCTGACTTCTGGCTCTGAATCGCTCGACACTGCTAGGCCCTTTAGGCTCTTTCTAACATTCACTACGAACCACTAATTTGAAATGCGACTTTGAAAAACTAACATAATTAAAAGCTGAGAAACCTGTGAATGCCACCAGTGTCAGCATGGAGTGTTAAAAAACAAAAGAAAGATGAACAATAGAGGCATTTTTCGTCAATGTATTTTTACAACCCTTGAGGAATCCTCGCAAATGTAAAAATAAGCCGTTTATCGGCCTTCAGCTCGTGGTAATGTGATTTATTCCCCTCGTGCGTTGCCATGCCAGGCCAATAACCCTTATTTATTTTTACATAAGCTCGGATTCCTTTGTTCTTTTTTGGGGTAATATATTACATAACCGGCGAATCAACTGTCTGAAAAGCTGGGTGCAGCTTTGTTTGTTTGAAGGGAAGAGCAGGGCTAATGAATTGCTAATTAAAATGCGAGGGGATTATTCCATTACATTATCCCCCCGCATTTCAATTAGCTTTTCAGAAAAAGTTCACAAATGTTTATTGGAAATATTAAACACGACGCTATATTAAATTACTAAAATGAAACTGAGCTGCGTTACTTTTGCGCCACATTCACGGATCTTCCTAAATGTTGGTTCATCGATTTCCACAGCCAGAACAACAGTTCGAAATTGACAGCGTCTAAAAATGTTAAACGAAAGTGTCGCGGTCATGGTAAGGTGTTCCGTTCTTTAACCAGTCATCCCAAACTCGTGTACTCCATGAAGACATATAGTTGAACTTTTTGTGTTTTGTGCTATTCTTGCTTCATTCCTCGACTGAATTTCCTTGTCAGTTACAGTAGTGGTTGCCCCCCCCCCCGTACTCTGAGGTTTTTATTATTATTATTATTATTATTATTATTATTATTATTATTATTATTATTATTATTATTATTATTATTATTATTATTATTATTATTATGCTCCACGTTCTTAGACATGATGAATGACATTGGCATTGACAAAAACAGTAGCCCATCCTGACAAAAAGCAGCAAAGTTATATAATCAAGAAAATGATAAATATAGCCATCAGAGCAACATATTACATCTTTTGTTGTGGAAGTAGGAACTGGGATAGCCCAGACTTAATGCAATTTTGAATTTCTTTTTTTTTTTTTTTGCTTTTGTTTTGTTTTGTTTTTTTTTATTTGTTTTTGTTTTGTTTTTGTTTTTATTATTTTTGTTTGTTTCTTTTTTCTTTTTAATAATCCAATCTCAAGCAGCATTTGTAAATTGCCTATACGTAGCGAGATTTACAATTGTACATTCAAAAACACACATAAAGTTTGCATTATTATTATTCCTAG